CAAGTACCGATAGGTAATACTTCCTCCGTTCTTTTTTAATTGCAACGGTCCACTTTTCACGTTTGCCAACACACAAGTTTGACCATTAATATCTTTCATTTCGTATTAGTAAAAAAATTAAAAAAATTAGATTATGAAAATTTAAGGTGAGAGAAATTTAACAATATTTTTTTCAAATTTAGTTTATAATACATTAATAAATAAAATAGAGTCAAAGTAGAACATATGAATAGTGTAAAAAGTCCAACGTTGCATTTAAAAAAGAACGGAGGTAGTATAATTATACAAACCTATAATAAAAGTTTAAATGTTTTATCCCATCGGAATAACAACGAATAAGAATTGTATGCTGCCTAGAATTGTTTGGGGTTAACCTAGGTTATTGCGGGTTCAATTTTTAGTTAATCTCGTTTGTTTGTGTTTTTGTAACAAGAATCTAGGTTATGGGTTAACCTCACTTAACTCTCGAGAACCTGGAAAAAACTTAAATTGAAGAACCTCCGAATCGGGGATTTTGGAGGTTAATTTCTCGTTTAACATTAAATGAGCTAGAGTACCTTCATCCAAACAACATTTATTACATTAACCTAGGTTCACCTTATTTATTTCCAAACACTATTTTACTCATGGACCTAGGTTCACTTAGGTTTACTTCATTACACTAGATTTACTTAAGTTCACTTTATTCAAACAGAGCGTAAAGTGTCACTATCCTTTTCAAGGTTAGTCAGTTAAGATGTTTAATTTGAGGCTCATGCTAGTTCATAGTAAACCATGTTTAAACATATTAGATTAAATCAATTCCTCACATTAAAATAAAAAACTTAGTCAATATTGAGTGCACATAATACATACTTTTATCACACTAGATCAAATCAATTCACATTAAATCGGAACATACTTAAATAAATCAGACCAAGTCACATAAAAACCCTAGTCCAAGCTAAGTGAGAACATTCGAAATCAACCATAAATGAGATGAGTTTCCCTTTACTATATTTTGTTATTTCAATATCAATTCATTGATTAGAATTTTACATACTTCATCCGTTCCTTTTTAATTGCAACAGTCAACATTTCACGTTTGCCGACGCACAAGTTTAACCATTAATATCTTTAATTCCTTATTAGTAAAAAATTTAAAAAAATCATATTTTGAAAATTTAGAATAAGAAGAATTTAACAATATTTTTTAAAAATTTAATTTATTATACATCAATAAATAAAATGTAGTCAAAGTAGAACATGTGAATAGTGCAAAAAGTCCAATGTTGCAACTAAAAGAGAACGGAGGTACTAGCAGACTACAAAGTACGGATTAGTTTTTGGGTCTATTTCTAGACCTGGTAAGTTTGTCTTTTGGTTCATTCCAAGCCTTTTAGTGTTTCTTTTCATTTTTAAAAGGAAAAAGATCAGCTATATATTTCTATCATTTCAAATTTATCCCATACACTAAACTTATGGCCTAGCCAAATGCTCCGAGTTCAATTGACGGCGGACCACGTCATTGTTACTACGTGTAATTTAGGGACACACTCCTATAAGAAAGTCACTTTTTAATAAAAAATGAAAGAATTCTTTCAAAAATAAAAATGATAATGAAAGAATATAAAATTTTGGATAAAATGTCGAAATCTATAAAAAAAAATGTAGTTTTTGGAACTATGAATGTCTATTAAAAATGAGTGAGTTATATCATTAAAATGTACTCCGTAATTTGCACTCATAAAGGCGGCGCCTAGGCTCGCCAAGACGTGAACAATACGCCCCGCCTATGCATATGCGTGACCAAAGGCGTGAGTGCTACACAATTTAAACTTTTAACTATCATTTATTAGCAAATCAAGGGTACGAAGACCCGCTAGAGCACAAGTTTCATTCACAAGGAAGAGAAGAGGATGTCCACAATATATATAGAGTGTTGGAACGAGGAGTGCTTCATCTCCTTCCGGTGTGGGATGAAGTTAAAACCCAGTTGGCCGGACAAATAATACTCCGTACCAAGGTTAAAAGCAGTTGTCAACTAGGCTCCAACAAATTCAACATCGTAAATCCTTATTAAGGAGTATCATTAAATTATTACTCCGTATATTATTATTATAGGGTCATTATTATATACGTAGTAATGAACTAATGATAATGATGATTACAAACAATTTCATTATTTTTTTGAACGGACAATTTCATTATTATTTGTATTGTCATTGAACTTTTTTTTATGAACTCTTACTTTTTATATACCAAATTTATATAATAGGTGTCCATTTTAGTAATTCAGAAGTTTATTTTTGTTGGAAAATGTATTACTATTATGTTTTGCATGATATTTTATAATATTGCATTTATATGTTTAAAAAAATATCTATAAAATTTAGAAAAATTAGTAAAAAAACTAAAACGTCTTTCTACGCCTAATTCCCGCCTAAACTCGCCTAGGATTCAAAGGCCTAATAAGGCTCGGGCGTGCCGCCTCGTCACGCCTTTTAGAACACTGTCCGTAATAGATTAATCCATATACGGATCGAATAAAAAGTGTATACCATACTGGGTTATCTACTCGGCGAGTACTCGGCAAGTACTCGGCGAGTACTCCCAACTCGGCCTGGCACCTTGCAGAGTAGCACTTAACTCGGCCCGAGTTAATTTCCCGAGTTACTCGGCGAGCACTCGGCGAGTTAGGCAACTCGGCGAGTCGGCCAAAGTGGCGAGTTACTCGCTACTACTCGGTATTTAAAAAAAAAAACTAAAAAACTGCGCTGGTCATCGCTACCTGAGGAGCTTCGACCCAAAAATCTGCGATTAGAAGACCTACGCTTACAAAACCCGCGACTCCCTGGAGCTGCGACACCAGGAGCTCCGACCGCTAAGTTCTTTCCCCTTGTCTCGTTTCTTATTTTCCCTGTTTGGAGCTTCATATATTCCCCTCCCCTGTCTTTTTTCTTATTCTCCCTGATTTGAATATACTTGACTTATTTCATTCGGGGCGTATTATACTTGTTCATGTGACTTTGCTTACATGTATTTGATTGCATTTTTTTCAATTCTTCTTCATTTTAAAAGAGTACCTGGCATGAACAAAGGTTTATGGTGCCTAAGCCTTCCTGGGGCTTTCACCTTAATGTTCACCAAGGCCAGCCTATTTTATGTTCGAATTCCTCACACAGTTGAATATCCTGATCTTGTTGCTTCTTCTAGGACTAAAAAGAGGCATATGTTATTGGTTGTAGGGTAAGATCTGACTGTGTAAGCTGGTCTATTAATGAAGGAAAACACAAAATCAATGCATATGTTATACTTGTATTTTTAGAATGGGCAACAATGAATAGCTTTTGAAAAGAGATTTCAGGAAGAGATAAACAATCAACAAACTCATCAACAGAAACCCCTCCTGCATCACGACCTTGAATCCAATGAAGATTAATATCAGACCAACTTATTAGATGATTGACTGTTTTATCACTTTTGCTTTATGACATTTGCTACTCCATCATTAGTATAATAGGATTTCTATCCTTTTATTCACTTCTATGCATTTTAAGACAATTTAAAGACAATTTTATTACTATATTTTAAGACTACTATATTTAAATATATTTTTATATTTAATTAATACTAGGCTGAGTAGTCACCGAGTAATCCCGAGTAATCGGTCCTACTCGCTACTCGGCCCTTGACCGAGTTGCTACCGAGTAGCGAGTAAACTACCTAGATACCATATGGAAGGTATACAGATGGTCCATTGTCCATATACTTTATTTTATTTTATATTTTTGTATTAAGCCAAAAATACTGCTTTTTCCTTTTTTGCTATGTAGTGTTTTTCCTTTTATGAATAAACTGCCTCTTTCCAAAAAAACACTAAAAATTAGGCCTGGGACCGGTTCGGTTCCTAGGCAAAATATGTGGAACCGTTTGAAAATATGAAATTTTACTAACGGTTCGGTTCTTATAAATTATTTTAAAGAACCGATAAGGAACCGAACCGTTCTTAACGGTTCGGTTCTTGTCATTTAACGGTTCCTAGTCTTTGAAAAAATTCTTACAAATCACGACTAAATTTTTGCCAAAAAGACATTCAACGTTGGAAATCTCAATACATATATGATGAACCAGTTAAAGACAATAATAATTTTAAATACTCTGGACCTTCCGAGTTCCGACCAGCTGGAGTTTGGACCTAATGAGAGGCCTAAGAAGCCTAAGAGAACTGGTTGAAATAAATAATAGTTTTAAATAGTTAAATAACTAAACTAAAATAATGAATATAATATAAAAATAAATAAGTAAATATACATTACAATATATATATATTCATAAAAATATATTTAATTTTAATTATTATATATAACGGTTCCTTAACGGTTCCTGGTACATATTTTTTTCAGGAACCGAGAACCGAACCGTTAATAAAAATTAGGAACCGAACCGTTAACAAATAACTAATAAATGTTGGAACCGAACCGAACCGGGTCATAACGGTTCGGTCCGGTTCGGTTCTCCGGTTCTTGGTTCCAAAGTCCCAGCCCTACTAAAAATATTGAAAAATTAACCGACAAAAACAATTTACCGGCGTATGAAGGGTACCAAAAAATTACGGAGTATTAGCCAAAAAGCGGGCCATACACATAGCAGCATTTGAATACCTTGTTTATTTCTAAATTAATGATTTATTAAAAAATAGGTATGAGCGAAGAATTGAAAACAAATTAACGAATAAAAATAAAATACCTTACAAACTATGACTCATATTTTGTTTGTGTTTTTCATTCGGATTTCGCAATGTGGCATTCTGATTCCTATTTTTTGTACCGTAATTTGGAGTCTCGTATTTTTGCTTGTCAGATAAAAGAGTCTAGTCATTGGAATTTTCTTCTAAAATTGTCTTATATCAAATTTAGTAAGTTTGTGTAGGTTCTAAATCATTCTTTAGGGGTGGTGTCCTCAATATGAATTCTTAAAGATTTTAAAGGAATTTAGAATTCCAACAAAATTTGGGTGTTCTAGATTTGGATTTGGATGTAGTCTATGAACATCCTGTTGTCCTCAAAGTGTCATGGATTCTTTAGGATATTTTATTTCTTGGATCTAAGGTTTTCGTGGATTTTAAAGCCTAAAATACGAAGGAAAGAATACGACCAAAAATCTCTGCCCACCCTTTTGATTTCAGCGGATTTCCCGTCACGAGGCAAAACAAAAGCAAGCAAGCTACATCCGCCCCCCATATAACTCATCTGGATCGATCTTCTTCCTTCCTTTCTAATGGTGAAAACTGAAAATGCAGACCTTGCAGAGCTAAAGAGGATTAGTGTTTGGAGTTGGTGTAGTCCGTAATCCATCCAAGAGTTGACTGTAGAATCTCGAAGCAGGACAGAGGAACAAATCCAAGGGTTTACGGTGGGAAGATTATTAACAAGAGCTCGGAGGAAGAGGAACAAATTCAAGGTGAGAAATCTTGGGTCGTAGCCACCTTGGCGCTTCATGGTGGCGAGAAATCTAGGGTCAAAGCTGGATTTGAAATTCCATGGAATATGATTAGAATTTCACATAGTCTGTACAATTCAATATAAATCCATTAACAATTTTTATTATATTTCACTACTTTGATTACTTCTTTATTATTATTAAAATACTTTTTATCCATATAAATGTGATTAACTTTTCACCTTGTAAACTTATCGTATCAAGTGTTCTAAATAATTGCGAAATACCTCTTGATTATATTAAAAGGAATAATTATTCAAATTCAAAACTCTTCTTACCATATTATTGTTATTAAAATAAATAAACTATAATACAACCAAATATGTATATCACCCTTTTAGAATGTTTTTAATTGGACTAAAATTTTCTGGCTTGGTCTGACAAATGTCTAGTCCCTATGTATTTTATAACTATGCAAGTCTGCTTTGATCTTATCTTGTCTGGTCTGTGACTGAAAATAGTCCAAATACAACACCCTTAATATTAATTCAAAAAATGAGAAGATGATTAAATACTTATTTATTAGTTAAAACAATAATAATTGTCATAAAATGCGATTAGTATGTTTTAGAAAGTCATTTAAAGCTTTCATAACTCTCAACACTTAATAAGTCATGTATTAATTTACATGTGGGTCTCTTTCTAGGGCTTTTAGCCGCTAGAGCTTCGTTTTCTCCGCTCTCGGCCTTCCGAGGTGCGGCCGTAGGCAGGGGTGTTTTGGGAGCTTCGGAAGTTTGCTTTCCGTTTCGTTTTGCAGGTCAAAGGACAAAGGGCGAGCGGAATCTTGGAGTAGCAGATTTGAGCAGGGCGACCGGTGGTTCAATTCGGGCGGAGAATGTGATGGGCGGCAGAATGACGAAGGAAAGTGGTTCAACGAAGGATGTATTGCTGAACGGAGAGGTGGGTCAGATGAAGGTTGCTCGGCAGGAAACCGACCTTGCGACGAATGGGAGCAGAGCCTTTGGTATTAGGGTTTGGAGCCGTGGCTTGTTCGTGTCAACAATCATAGTGATGGTCCGACCTCCTCCCGAACCACCACCAGGGGACTCGCTTGGTGAATCTATGGAGGTGCTCGTGAAGAAGGAAAGGGATTTTTATTTATCTGCATTTTTATTGTCGTTTTTGTCATCACACTTTTATTTGTTTTGTTGCTATTATTTTTTATTGTAAGACTCTTGCATTAAGATCGGGTGAAGTTAGGTCTACTTCAATCATCTGTGGCTCAGGTTTGCCCATTAATGGATCAGTGGGTTATATTGCTTGTTTGAAGGTGATTAACTTCAAATCTGGTTCGAAGGCTGACGGTTGCATGTGAGTCCTTTGAGTCCTTATTCATTTTACTCACTTTCTGAATGCTAATGCTTTTATTTCAATATAAGCCCCCCTCTTCCAAAAAAAAGTCCATCTATTAATTTTTTTTTTTTGAAATACCATCTATTAATTTCTTATTAATGCAATTTAGAGTTCTATGGGGGTGGGAAAATAGAATTCTATTTGGAATCCCAAATACGAATATTGGCTTAGGCCATGGGGATTGCAAAATTAAGTCATGCCTGAACATCCTGACTTCATGTTTGGATGACTCTAAGAAAGTGGTCTTCGGGTTCGAACTTAAAGCTTGACCACTTTTATACATGAGACTTAGAGCCCGTTTGGTAATACTAAAATCGGCTGATTATGTTGAAATTTATGAAGTTATGACTTAAGTGGTTGTATTGGCTGATTCTGCTGATTTATGAAAAAACTAAATTTAAAATATATTTTATTAATAAAATAAAGAAAAAAATATTTGTAAAAATAGTTAAAATAGTCCTCTATAGTCACATCACCCGAAACAGCCATAAGAGTAACTTCAATCTTACTTTTTCTTATTATTACACATTTCAGCGCCCGAAATAAAAAATTACGAAGTACGTGTTTGGTGAAAAAGTCGGCTGATAAGCTGAATAACAGTGTTACCAAACGGGCTCTTAGTTTCAAATTTTGCAGGTAGTTGGTACGAGCACCTGATATTTTGACAAATATGCTCGAAAATAAGAATAGTTTTTTCAATTAATTGACCCGTGTTTGAATTAATCGACAAATACTAGATGCATTAATAATTAAATGTAAATTAAGAAAATCCAAAATTGTATTAAAAAATAAGTGAATTAAGAGAACTACGCCAGGAATATGAAAAGGATTTGGTCTGAAGTCTCGATAAAATAGATAAAAACGGTGTTAATGGTATGCTTCAATTGAATCGTAATTTACTCTCAAGGAAACAAGCTTCAATGGTGTTTTTTCTTCACTTGATAAATAACCCTTCAAATGGATCAATTGAAGAAAAAACACAATGGATTCTAACTTTGTAAGAGTGAATCGTAATTTACTTTCAAGGTTTAATGTGAACTTTGAGAGTAAGATTATGCGGTGAAGCCGAGATCGACTAGTATTGACAAAAACGAACAATTGTTGGGGTGCCTTTTTCTTTGTAGCTTATTACACTTCATTGTTTATGCTTCCATTCACTTTATTACAATACACTTATTGTATACAGAGTATATTAAAGGAAATGGTTATACTTTATGTTTTTAAAAAACGTAACTAATATAATGTTGAAAAACTTGAAACAACAAATTACTATATGATATAATTTAAATAGAATTACTCAACTTGTGATTGCTGAAAATGTATTAGTGATATCATGTAAAATCATTGAAAATGGCAATATTTTTTCGCATAAGAATTCATCCTTCGCTTAAAATATGTGCTTTACTTCATTAGTTCAATGTGAGTTGTGGACATATCATAAACCGGGGCTTATTAGATCATGGCCGGGAAGCGTTTTATTATTGATATACAACTCTCATTTGAATATAAGAAATACCATCTTTGGTGATCGATCATCGATCATAAGATTTTTCTGAGTATAAATAGCGTGCACCAAAAAACATAGGCCTCTCATAGTCATAGTCTAACACATCCATATTACGAAGTCATTTGTCACGATATTAGTATTAACACAAAAGTACAACAAACGCTCGCAAAAGAATAAAACAAGAGCAAAAGAAAAGAAACAGGGAAGATTTGAGGCAATTCCATAGTGGAACGTAAGTTCCATTTCTAACCACATAACATTAAAAGAACCCATTATGAAGTTCTTTAATCAAGATCATCTTCCATGCTTGACTTGCTTCGGTAACGGCGATCTGGTTTACGAACAACACCGTCTTCTGTCATATCCATTCCGAAATCATCATCTTCTTCTGTTGTTTCACTTCCATTTTTTTGTTCCTCCCAAGCCGCAATGTGTACTGGAAAGCTCGGTGGGTTCACACTTTCTTTAGAATAGTCTTTACCATCATCCTCCATTGCTATTATACTGCTAGTCTTCTTCTTAGGGACAAAGCTAACAGGTTGATGAGAATCAATTTCAGTTGGTGAGCTCTTTTGCTTCCACTTTTTCACCTCCTCAAGCACATACATACAAGCTCGACTATTGGAGACATCATCAATCTCACCACACGAATCCAAACTATAGCGTGTGTATTTCGAAAGATTGATGAGATGATCAGGAACCTTGGGTTGACTTTCATCTGCAGACACAGGTGATCTTTCTTGTTGGTCATTATCTAAGTCATCGACAAAACTTGGATCAAATCTAACTCGTTTTCCAGACTTTGCCTCAGAATTTTCCTTCATTTTCAATATTGGTTTTGGTTTGAAATGATCATCAGAAACTTTAGGTTTGCGTTTTGATGCCTCTACATCATCTTCCCTGAGCCTAAGTTCAGCAGCAATCTGATCTGCACGAGGATCTTTAGAGAAGGAGTGACTGGTATTCCACTCCCCCTCAGCAATCCTGTCATATTCATCTTCTTCCTCCTGCAGAAAATCAAACATGATATATCAGCAACAGAATAGATCAGGGGCAGATTTACCCTTTACCCTAATCCTATGTGGGGCTGAAGCAAAGAAAAACTTGTTTTTTAAGGTTTTTATGTGAGATTTTTCTAATTTTTGAAAACACTACTCCTCCTCTTCACCGGAGTAATTTTCAACTTTTTTAAGTCAAAAAAAATTGTGAGATTTTTCTTTTCCATATAGCCAAAATCATTATTTCCTTCAGCCTAGTCCAACCCCTCCTCTTCACCGCAACCCAACACAAATCATAGATCTGTCCCTTGAGCACCTTAATCATAGAAAGAGCTAGTTTCTTCTTCAAAAGTAAATGAACTGTTATTACTACTATGACAACCAAATTATGTTCAAACTTGAAAAGTAAATGAACTGTTTGCATGGACGGTTTGAAGAATTCTTTTTACAATATGCTCCCTCCATTTCTTATTCGATGTAGTAGTGCTCTCCTGAAGCCTAAGAGTAAAAAATCAGTAGGGGAGAAGATGAAAAATAGAAATGTAAGGAAGAGAAGATGAAAAAGTAAAGGTCTTTATGTATTTCAATACAATGAAACTTAACAAAAGTAAGAGAGCAGAGCAAAAAGAACTATGTTCTCAATACCGGACCAGGAGGCGACTCAGACAAGAGACCGGGTCAGAGTTCAGCCCGGTCAACGATGGGTCAACTCTGTCAACCCGATCAATGCTTGTTAAAAAGACATAAGATATGTGTAATTATATACGAGATTAAAGTTGTAAGGTTAAAAATTACTCTCATTCGAACTTTAATGCTCCGTAATGGTTATATGAATAAATAAAAACAATGTACCAAAATATAATGTTTTTTACATCATCCAAAATGTGTTTGGAATAAGATGGGAAACATGTGAACATAATATTTGTATACTAAAATTATAAATATAATTGATAGATAATACTAAGAGGCTCTCATAAGTGTGCATTCTTAGTTAGTTAACGTGGCACACTAGACCACACCCTTGCATTGGAGATAAGATTTAGTTAGTTGAGCAGTGTATTTAATCGTAGATAATTATGGTATGAATTTGGACCATTTTTTTCTGATAATGTGGCACACTAGTCACCTCTCCTCGTGGCCCTAACTGGCCACAATGGATGTACACTAGGCAGTCTTTTGCATGGTTTTAGCACAGGACCTTAGGTCACCATGTTCACTGCTTGACAAACATGGCTTCTCTTCTGGTAATTTTAAACCATCTCGGTCATAAACATAATAGTGGCTAACTAACATATAGTATTTTTGAAAATTTGGTTTAAAACAACAAAGGGGATTTCGTTGCCAGAAGGACTCCTTTTCACTTGTTCTTGGTGTAGTGTCTGTTTGGATGTAGTGTTTTGGACGGTCGACTTGGAACTTGGCTGCCCATCACTAGAATCAGTTCAGTAGAGTGTGGACCCGCTATTATGGATAAACCCAGAATTAACTGGTGACCTGCCTTGACCCGGACCGGAGCGTGGAACGCTCCAAACCTGGAAAATTTATGAAACCCGGTTTCTAAGGTAACTACTTCTTTAAAAATTACATTACCAAGGGGTTTCAAATCCTGGACACACGCTCAGTTATACGAATGAAACACCACCTGGGCAACTTGGCAGGTGTGATTGAAATTTTCTTTAACTTCTTTTATACTTTTTGTTTATACTTTACTCTTGTAACATTTTTGTCTTACAATTTTATTTTATTATTAATTATTCATTAATAATCATAACTCTACTATTATTATTGCTATTATTATACTACTCCCTCCGTCCCAGAAAATTCTTCCAACTTTCCTTTTTGGGACGTCCCAAAAAATTCTTCCAACTTCACCTTTTTGATTATTTGTGTGGCTCACATTCATTTCACCTTTTTCTTACACAACTACAACCACACATTTCCACTTTATTCCCACTTTCTTAAACTCCGATCCAAGTCAAACTAGGAAAATTTTCTGGGACGGAGGGAGTAATAAACTATTTTTGAAATATTCATATTATCTATCAATTATATTTATAATTTTAGTATACAAATATTATGTTCACATGTTTCCCATCTTATTCCAAACACATTTTGGATGATGTAAAAAACATTATATTTTGGTACATTGTTTAACAGGGAGATGAGCTGTACAAGATATACAGTATACGTAGTATAACCCAACATATTACTCCTAAAACTATTAACTATTAAGCCTGCAATACCTAAAACTACACAGTATATTAGGTCAATAAAAGAGGAATTGGAAACCAACAAAGCAGTAAGAGAAGTGAAGTATACCTCGTTATCTAGGGTTGAATCCAAACCAATCGAGGATCTGATTTCCAGAACATCTGCATCTTCACCATCATCCTCACCACTAAGAACTTCGATGTCTTCGTCGAACCCTTGCTTTTCACCCTCCCCGTCTTCCTCTCCACTGAGATCATCTCTGTCAACGAACCCATTCTTTTCACCTTCACCGTCTTCCTCTCCACTAAGATCATCGGCGTCAACACACCCTTTAGGAAGGCCATCGCGATTTCGTTTGAACATACCATCGAACGAAGACGAACAGAGGGTACTGTCATCGTCTTTACCTGGTTTACTTTTGCTTCGCTTCCAATCTCTCTTCTCCACTTCGTCGTCTGTGAGAGACCACAGCGGCTGCAGCGCCGGCGAATTCGAAGACGGCGGCGTAGATAGCGAGCTGAATACCTTGTGAACTCGAGCTCTGAAGCTGCC